TATATATATATATATATATATACAGGGTTGGAGGTTTGATCCCCTCCTCCCGTAATACACTGAAGTGTCCTTGTGCAAGACATTGTAGCTCCAAATGCAAATAACTGTGTGAAAATGAGAGCATTAAAGGGCTTCATGTAAAGTGTAAAATGTGCAATAAAAGCACTGTTTGTGTAACATGGAGAGATTCTATACAGGTATGGATAATTTAACATTTAAATATGTTACTGTAGAATGAAATAGAAAATATGCCTACAAACAGATCAGCAATAAAAAGTACTACATGTAAATATAAAAGTTTATAAAGGCAATTAATTACAGCATTCAAATAAAAGTGGGGAGATTTAGGAGGAGCAACAACAAAAGTAAATTATATAAAAACTGGAATTTGATTAGACAGAGTTAACCAGTCTGATTATAATAAATAGAACATGGTACATTTAGCTGTGATTATTATGGACAAAGCACAGATTTCCAGACTGTGGTAAATATTAAATATTCGTATGTATTAGCAGGTAGTACTTTATGTGGGTTTTCATAAAAAAAAAAACTATTTCTATATGGGTTCTCGGCGGCTAATCATTAAAAATGATAAAAGTCCAGCAGAATTCAGAAAATGTGGTGTAATTTTTAGCCAGACGATGGCGGTAATAAACTGTAAAGCTGTTTGCCAACCGAAGAAGAAAAAGAAGAAGAAGAAAAAGAAAACGCAGAAGAAGAAAGAGGAAAAGGAAATCTGTAGGTCATGTTTTCAGGAATTATTTAAATGTTTCGCAATTAATATTAATGTTGTTGATGTGAATTTAATTTCGCATTTATGTTTTCTTGCTAAAAACATCTTCRAGATTGCGCTGGTAGGTAAATTTTGAACAAATTAATTAAAACAAGCAGTTCAAATAAGCTAATATGCTCAAATTAGCATCATCTCCTTTCATTTAAACACGCCGGAATGCATTAGAAAACCATCCAAATCAGTTATTTATCAAGTTAATGATACCTGGTTGTGAAATATAAAATAATCTAGAGCTGAACAAAAACACTTATTTGTGAGTACGTGATTAGTTTGAGAATCAATGAACACTTAGAGCAACAGAAACTGGGAAGACACTTTTATTTTTTGTATTTATTTAATGGTAGTACATCCAAAATGAAGACAGGACTTAAATTTACACACAGACAAAAACATCTAACTTTAATGCAATAAACATGATGAGTAAAAGTGTGATGTCTAATTGCTAGTCATCAAATATTAATGTCATGTTACATCTTGATAACAGGTGTAAATTGAATGACTAATTGTATTATTATTATTTGTGCAGACACAGAAAACCATACAGCAGTATTTGTGTTTTTAATATCATGCTGCCATGTTTTCAGATTCCAGCCCTGATGGCAGTATCTGCTCGCAGCACGGTTTTGTCTCTGTACAAGCGTGTGTTCCGGATCGCTCGGACCTGGCAGGCACAGAGCGGCGCTCAATCTGACACAGAGACTGAGAGGAAGTACATCRTGCAAGAGGCCCGCGCTTTGTTCAGACACAACCAGCAGGTCGGAAACACCGACACCGGCTCTCAGATCAGGAGGAGCAGGGATTTTAGGGCTAGTTGTAAAACTAATACAGTTCTGTTTGTGCTGCTTTTCTCAGCTCACAGATCCAGAATCAATAAAGCAATGTATAGAAGAATGTGAAGCAAGGATAGAAATAGGTATGACTGAAGAGATGCTGTAAGCTTTTCTTAACCCTCTAAATAGCTAATGTTATGACTTTGATGTAACGTTGAGAATTGCTGCTAATATCTTGCTTTATTCATTTTTTATTAATTTTTTTCAGGCCTACATTACAGAAATCCATATCCAAGGCCTGTAAGTAATGCCCATTCATTAGGTAAAGACGGTGTTAAATGTGTGTGAAGTCTGTGTTTTTTATTCTGTGTTTTGGTCATATGGTGTTCCTGCAGATGTACCTCCCGCCGATGGGACTGGCCACTCAGAAGGGCAGGAAACTGCGAGCACAGCAGCGCCTCAGGAAGCAGGCCAAGCCAATCTACTTACAATCACATGACGAGACCTGATGGCTGATATCCTGGATCCTCGTGTAGCGTTCACATTACCAAGGACAGACGCAGTCAGCATTTTGGGCAGAGGTTCTGCAACCGGTTACTGATGAAGGAACACTCAGTATTTAGGGGGGAAAAATTCATTGTTATTCTTACAGTCAGCAAGTTTCAGTGACAGGTTGGGTTCAGCTCAGGAAGGCTGTGGACTGATCCTGGCAGCAGATCACTTGATTTTCTGATGTTGTCAGAGGTGACTAGTCTGACTGAGACAAAGACCAATGTGGATTTCTGCTATCATAACAAAAAATAAAAAATAAAAAAAGTGAAAATGCAATTTTGTAAACATTTACAAACCTGTCAAATTTGCATTTCATGAATATTTTKGATTAAATATCAGAATCAGAATCGGATTTATTGCCATTGTCAATGAACAGGATTCACAGACTAGGAATTTGCTTTGGTGTAAAGGTGCAATAAGTATAAAATATAACAAATAAAGAAAATACAATGGATAAAGGGAAAATATAATAAAATATATAAAACATACGTACACCGGTTCAGTACAGCAATCAGAGCAGACATAATAGTTCAATTCAGTTTATTTATATAGCACCAAGTCACAACATAGGTTGTCTCAGGGCACTGTACATAAAAAGAACAATCTAAAGAAGAAACCAGCAGATTGTGTTGAATCACTTCATCACAGTCTCCCATCCTGAGCAAACGGTGGAGAGGAAAAACTCCCTGCTAATCAGGAAGAAACCTCCAGCAGAACCAGGCTCAGGACAGGTGGTCATCTGCCTCGACCGGCTKGTTGRRGGACAGGAAAGAGACAGACAAACACAGAAGAACTGGTCCAGGTGCACCTTCTCCTGGAAAAGACAAAGAAAAAACATGTTATTGATAGAAATAATTACAACAAACGTAGAAAAGAGAGACTAAAGACAACAGCAGAGTGAGGAAACGTGCTCAGTTTGTGCTCCAGCAGTCTAAATCTATGGCAGCAGAAATGAAGAATAATTCAGGAAACCCAAGTCTAACTATAGGATTTATCAGAAAGGAAAGTTTTCAGTCTAATCTTAAAAGTAGACAGCGTGTCAGCCTCATGGACAGAAACTGGAAGTTTGTTCCATAAGAGAGGAGCTTGATAACTGAAAGCTCTGCCTCCCATTCTACTTTTAGAAACTTGAGGAACCACAAGTAAACCTGCAGTCTGAGAGCAAAGTGCTCTGTTAGGAAAGTATGGAACAATAAGATGTTTAATATATGATGGAGCTTGGTTGTTGAGAGCTTTGTATGTTAGTAATATTTTAAATTCTATTCTAAATTTGACAGGGAGTCAGTGGAGAGAAGATAAAACTGGAGAAATATGATCTCTCCTTCCAACTCTCATTAAAACTCTAGCAGCAGCATTTTGGATTAACTGAAGACTTCTTAAAGAGTTTTTTTAGATGCCCAGATAATAAAGAATTACAGTAATCCAGCCTAGACATGACAAATGCATGAATCAGTTCTGTGTTATTTTTGGACAAAATATTTCTAATTTTAGTGATATTGCACAGGTGGAAGAAGGCGGTCCTGGAAACATTTTTAATGTGGGGGTTAAAAGACATATCCTGATCAAAAATAACACCATGGTTGAGTTGAGTTGAATTGAATTGAACTGAAGAAACTGTTCTTATGGCGGGATGTTCTGGTCCGAATGAACCGAAACCTGCCTGGGGGGAGTGGTATGAACAGGCTGCGTGCAGGGTGAGAAGGGTCAGCTGTGATCCCACCTGCTCGCCTCACAATTTGATGGTAATATTGAAATAAGTAGTGACAGCAGCTAGATGATGATGATGATGATGATGATGATGATGGACATCCTGACCATCATTTGGGACACGTTGACAGGAATAGCATAAAATGTCTGCTGTAAAAACCAAATAATAAACTGCTTATAAAAAGATGTTTGTTCAAACTGCAATGAAACTTTTGAAACAACAGTAATCCACTTAGCTGTTGGCTTCACTAAGACTAGCCATGAGCTCATCAATCCGACCAGAAATAAACTTAATTTCTTCAAACTGAGGCCTTTCAAAGCGCTATCTGGRACAGATAAGATAATGTTGACAGCTCAACAGAACCTCATCTATTACAGTGCAATTAAAGAGATTGATGAATGACCCTGATTTATTTATGACATCCACCTTTGGATTATTAACTTAGTAGAGGATAGTTTATCACTTCTTATCTAGTTAGTTTTGTTTTTGAAAATTGTATTTTATTGTCTGCAAAATATTTCAAACAGCACTTTATTTAAGGGAAGTCAGTGAGATTATTTCCTCTTAAGAATAAATACTTTAAATATTCCGTGAAGATAGTGCTTTTTACAAATAAATGCACTCAATAAGAACAAGCTGAGATGCCAATAATTCATTAATAATGCAAAACTGCTTGCATGAATGACAGACCTTGAGTTCTGTGGTGCATTTAAACCCAGAAGTACTTGAAAAGTCCTCTGTAGCTGGTTTATTCAGCTGGGAATCCAGTCCRTGTTATGTTCTGCTCCACTTTCCAGCTTTAAGTGGGAAGAAAAAGGGAAACGCGGATCATCAAACACGACCTCTGATAATCTCAGTGGGGCCTGCATTCATAGTTCTCTGCTCAGCTGAAGTAGACTTTATCAGACCGTTTTAATTTCACACTCTGGACAGAGTCACCTTGGCAAACAATGCCTCTTTTTCGTCGTCTCCTTCTCCGGAGCTTTATTTCTAGGCCTTTTCTCTCTCCTTAACCTGCGCACGGCCACACGATGGAGCCCAGTGAGCAGGGAATTCGAGGAGAAGTGGATAAGCTGTGAAGTGACGCCATTGTGAGCCGCAGAGGGGGACCCCCTCAGGCTGCGGGGTCTTCAGGAGCCAGGGTGAAATGGCCATAGAAATGTGAAAATGATGACAACAATGTCCTCACACTGCAGGGAACACAGACCTATTGAGTGTAATGAAATCCTCAAGGGAGAGCGTTTGTATAGTAATATTCTGAGTTCAGACAAGGAACAATGTCCATCTTGTCCRAACCTTTAAAACAGAGTGAACTTTATAGATGTTCTCAGAACAAACTGTATCTGATTGGMTGCTTTACTCCCTTAGGAGCTGATTAAATATCATCAAAGATAACTGTTTAGCCCATGTGTGTGTTTGTTTCTCTGGGGTTTTATGGAAATAACTCGAGCGCCAGTGAACTCTCTGAAAATGATTATTTAATCAGTTRAGCATCTACAACTGATTAACCTTTGGACTCAATTCAAGATGGCCACCACAGCTAATCAACATTAGCAAAGACTGTTGTTGATCACAGTCCGGTGTGGTAGCAGCCGACAGTCATCCTCAACACGTACATTCTGATCATACTGTATGTGTCTTTCACAAAGTTTGTTCAAAACAGCTTCTCCCTATTATAAATGATCTCAGAAAAGTGGTTGAAAATATGCATTCCTGCAAGAAAGACTAAGAATTGAATTTGAATGTGCATAATTTGAAATTGAATGCATAAGTTTGAAAATAAATTTCACTTAACTGAAACTGAATTTAATGATTTGAATGATTAATTTTACCTATATGTAGAAAAAGCTACATTTACATCACATCATGGATCAGATATTGATCAGTTGCTGACTGATCCTTGATGTGTAAATGTAACATTTTCTACATATAGGTGAAATTAATCACTGCAATAAAATAACAGTTTTTTTTTTCACTTTTACAATGGATTGCATCAACTCTGTTACATTACAGAAGGGAAGCTAAATCTGTGGATCTGTGTTTGATTACTCTGGCTGGATTTCTCACAGACCAGGATGTGTGACACAAAAATCTGAATTTGGGAACTGAAATTGAAAGTAGTCAAACTGAAGTTTTAATAGACCAAAATACAGTTTCAAAGCAAATTAATTCAGATACAAAACTTTAAATTCAGTTTCAATTTAGTAAAATTCTTTTTCAAACCAGTGCATTCAATTTCAAGTCATGCACATTCACTGAATCTGAGCAATTCAAATTCAGTTCCTGCTGGACTAAGTATTTATAATTTTTTTTAATTAAAAAAAAACAATAATTAAAAAAAATGGATTAAACCTTTTTGAAAGCCTGTACTGACAATAATTTTTCACTTAAAACACACTTAGACACAAACGCTGGCCAAAATGCTTAAAAACATCAATTTTATGCATGTTTAACCAGCAGAGGTCAGACCACACTCAGAGCTGAAGTCTTCATCAGTTCATTCAGTTCAGTTCAGACAGTTTGGGACTAAATTTGACCAGAGAGGATCACAGCTGCTGCTCCTCATTGAGCCCTGTGTCTTTACCAAAATTGAGCAAATCTCTTGGAATAAACCTGCCGTGGTTATTACTCTCATCACCACTGCCATGTAGATTGCTGAATAAAAGGGTGAGGCTGTTCCTGCTCTGTTTGCTCACCCTCCTCAAGAGGACTGACGAGGGATGAGACAGCAGATGTGTGGTCACCTCATGCATGTACATGTGAAGGATTGTGCTTTATTCTAAAGTGACCAGTTCTCTGTGCGCAGGCTGTTTGAACAGTATTTAACATGTTTTATAATTTGGTGTTATATTATTATTCACAGGTGTCATTAGGCGTCATACATTTTTAAGGTAAGATTTTTGTATCAATGGCATCACTGAAAATGACAGCATCATACCTGTCTGTTTTTGGTATAAGATGATCTTATTGTAAAATGAAGGCAGCAGGTAAAATGCCTTTTTTTTCAAGCCTTAAATTGCTGTTTACAATTTTGCTCATGTCTCCAGAAGATGAATTACAATACCTTTTATAATTTATTCCATTTATGTTGTTCAACCAGCAGGAAGTCAAAGATGCATCCTCCTTTAAATGATAATTTCTGCAAACCTAATGATGCGGTGTTTGTGATGAATGTGTTTGCATGAACTCGGAGAAAATGAACACCTAATCATCGACATGTCCAGACAGTCGTTGTGAATATTTTGACAGAATGACTTGATGTCATGCTTTGTCTTTAAAGGGATCCCCTATTAGTTGTAACTTTAGAATTTATATGATAAACATATACTTTAACTGTAAAATAAAGACTGTAAAAATACAGTACGATGTTCAGTTTTTATCATTTTTAAACTAAAAGTTTAAAAATATTTTACACGGACGGGGCCATTTTATTTACACGCAAAGCATCCTGGGTAAATGATGACATCAACTAGGTCATCGGTGCGAGGCTGCTAGCGAGCTATATCCACCCTGAAGGTTAATCTTGGACAATATCTGATGATTGACTCTTTTAAATGAAACCAGAGAGCGTTGACAGAGAGGAGAAGGTAGAAATGACTCAGCCTGTAACTGAAAATATGGATGGAGGACAACAGAGCTGCTTC